CGGAACGCCCCCCGACCCATGAGGTTTTAGTCACCCCCACTCCCCCGGCTCATGCCTGCTGTCCACAAGGCTCCCATGTGGCCGCCATCTTTCTTTCCAGAGAGGAGAGGGCGAATGGGGCAACACCCTTTCCCCTCCGGCAGACTTGATGGCCTGGATCAATGCATAGTCCGTTCACTTTTCTGCTCCAAGCTGCTGGGTTCTGCATTAAGTCCTTGTGCTTCTGGGGCCGTGGCTGTGCTGGAGAGCCGCTCGTGGGGGGCGACTGGTGACCTCGGTAGGGCGTGAAGGACGGACTGGAACGCCCCCCTTCCCATGAGGTTTTAGTCGCCCCCACACCCCCGGCTCATACCTGCTGTCCACAAGGCTCCCATGTGGCCGCCATCTTTCTTTCCAGAGGGAGGAGGGCGGAAGGGAGCAACACCCTTTCCCCTCTGGGCAGAAATGATTGCCTGGATTAACGCATAGTCCTTTCACTTTTCTGCTCCAAGCTGCTGGGTTCTGCATTAAGCCCTTGTGCTTCTGGGGCTGTGGCCGTGCTGGAGAGCCGCTCGTGGGGGGCAACTGGTGACCTCGGTAGGGCGTGAAGGACGGACCGGAACGCCCCCCTTCCCATGAGGTTTTAGTCGCCCCCACACCCCCGGCTCATACCTGCTGTCCACAAGGCTCCCATGTGGCCGCCATCCTTCTTTCCAGAGAAGAGAGGGCGAATGGGGCAACACCCTTTCCCCTCCGGCAGACTTGATGGCCTGGATTAACGCATAGTCCTTTCACTTTTCTGCTCTAAGCTGCTGGGTTCTGCATTAAGTCCTTGTGTTTCTGGGGCTGTGGCCGTGCTCCAAACTTAACTCTGACTTTCAGGGAGAAAGATTGGGTGGTTTACTTCTCATTGATCACTTTGTATATAGAGAGATGTCGCGTGGCGGCGTAAGCGGCCGCGCGGTTTTGAGAAAAAGTCCTTGTTCCCGCATACTCGAGCTGTGTTTGTAGAGGCTTCTGGTCACCGGGGTTCCATCTGGGGGAGGTGGGATGCGGCACCTACTCCATCTGGAACTTGCGGGTGAACTCGGCTCTTTTTGGAACCTGTTTTTTCTTTTTTTTTTTCCTCCGGGATCCCGCACCCTCCATGTGTTCTTTCTCTTATTCCCTAAAATATTTGGCCAACTGGAATAGATGGTTTAATGCTTGGGCTCAGTGGTGATAAAGGCCACCTGGGCCATACCTAGCAGTGCTCACAGGTAACTAGGACTATACCTAAGGCTAGTGGACAGAATTTGCCTCCTTGAATGCATATAAAACATGTGCTTCTGATCTCAAACTCTCTCCCTGGTCCCAGAAAACTACATTTTTCAAAAAGAATTTGCCTTTTGTTTTCTTTTGGATTATAGTTCTGTACTGTTCACTAATATATATAATATACATATATTTCAATATATGTATATATAATACATACATGTACATGTATGTTATATATAATATATGTATATTTTAAAAATATGTCATTACTGTCACTGTCACTGTCCTCCCGTTGTTCATCAATTTTCTCGAGCGGGCCCAGTAACGTCTCCATCATGAGACTTTGTTGTTACTGTGTTTGGCATATCGAATACGTCATGGGTAGCTTGCCAGGCTTTGCCGTGCAGGCGAGATACTCTTGGTAGCTTGCTGGGCTCTCAAGAGGGGCTGAGGAATTGAACTCAGATTGGCCATGTTGGCTGTGTGCAAGGCAGATGCCCTACTCGCTGTGCTATCGCTCCAGCCCAAAAATATATGTACATGTATATTTAAGAAATAGATGTTTTATATGTCTTGTCTAATTTTATGTTTACAAGGAAGTAAGATCTAGTACCAGTTGGTCCAACATGTCTAGGAGTGGAAATTTCTAAACCTGAATTTTAAAATTTCGCACAGTTGACTTTCTTCAAAAATAATTATGTTATTCTGGAACCTTAGGTCAATTTTTAGTTTTCTATATATTCCCATATATTCTTTAGTTTCTTCTGTGTTAAAGACAAATTTTTATCAATCAGGCCTTTTAAATTAGAATTACGTTTTATTCTCCTAATATTCTAAGTGCATAAGATTCACCAACACAAATATTAAGATCATGGATTTTATTTTCAAATATATCTTTCCTAAACTCCAAATCTTCATGGATGAGAACTGCTCAAGTGCTAAGACCAATCAGCAACAAAGTAATATAATATCAAACAATTTGAAAATTCCTTCTCATATGTCCTAGTGACTAGAGTAACAAGCCCAGATGGTCCGGGACAAAGTTTTCATATCCAGAACCCCAGTTATCAAGTGAGGCTTAAGTCTTTAAAGATTTTGTCTTAGTCCTCTTCCTTTAATGAAATACACATTGCTGCTTAATTTTTTTAAAGTTTGAAACTCCTAGTGTGGCTGCTGCAACACTTGATTGAATATTGCATTTCTTTAAGATATTTTTGTGACTTCATATAGCCCCAAAGATCTTGTTTTCTTGAGGGTCTAATAAACTTTTTTTTTCATATTATGTTATTTGATTCTCAAGCTTTTTGTTTGCAGGAATCCTGATCAATTCTATCTCATAAATTACCTTGAACTCTAATCAGTTTTTCTTCATATGTTTATGTAGCCTTCGAGCAATTAAAATTTTTTTGTGTTTGTCTCTTTTTTTTTTTTTATCATACTAGTGATGCTCAGGGCTTACTCCTGACTATACTCTGGGATTAGTCCTACACTTGCCTTCCTAGTCAAGGCAAGCACGCTAACTTCTATACTATTTCTCTGGTTCCAATTAAAACAGTTTTAAAATATGACTTTATTTTTAATGACAAATGTATTACTGTTAACATACTAACTTTTTTTGGTTTTGATTTGTTTTTTGGGCCATACCTGACAGTGCTTAGAGCTTCTGGCTCTGTTTCAGGATTACTCCTGGTGGTTCTTGGAAGACCGTGTACGTGCGGGGGTTTGAACCTGGTTATTCACGTGCAAGACACACATCCTGCCCACTCTATAATCTCTCTGGCCCTAACATACTACCTTTTAAATGAAAACAAGCAATATTTTCAACATTTTAAGCTGAAGATACTGAAAAGCATTAAAGATTTAAAAAATGTATACGTGTACATGATTTTAAAATTTCATTTTTGTAGAGATTAGAGGATAAAGAACACATAATTGTCATTTTTTAATAAAAAACTATTTCAAAGATTTTGAACTATGTAAGAATATATTTTGAACTTGTTTAGTTCTTCATTCTTAGGTTTCACACCCTTCTTCTGGCTGCGTCATGTTTATGTTTAATGTTCTTAGTGAATTCTTCAGAAAAGGCCCACAATTTCTGCTGTTAATTATTATAATTTCTTTAGTTCAGTTACTGTCACTGTCACTGTCCTCCTGTTGTTCATTGATTTGCTCGAGACCAGTTACGTCTCACAACAAATTGTGAGACTTGTTGTTACTGTCTTTGGGATATCGAATATGTCACGGGTATCTTGCCAGGCTTTGCCCTGCGGGTGGGATACTCTCAGTAGCTTGCTGGGCTCTCCAAGAGGGGCAGAGAAATCGAACCCATGTCAGTCAGTAGGCAGACACCCTACCCGCTGTGCTATCTCTCTCACCCACTCAGTTCAATAAAGTTATAAAATTATTGCAGTTGAACAAAGTATAACATAAAAATTTATTTAGAACTGGAAGATGGGTAAAAGATAGCATGATAAGACACTGAGTTCGATCTCCGGTACTGCTTGCCCCATCCCCACCCCCGCTGCCAGAAGTAGCCCTGGGTTCCCCTGAAGATGCAAAATTAGTTTTTAGGGTCACATAAGCAGGTTAGGTAGCACTACATTGATACTTGGACACATTGCTTGAGAGTCTCTTTCTGTAGCACAATTATTCTGCAAAGAAATAACTGAATTTTCATCATGATTTGAGTAGAGAGGGAAGTACTCAGAGGGAAGTTTGTTATATGTTGATACTGTAGTAGGGAGGACAGACATGAAGAGATATAGCACATTGTTTTGTGTCATGAAAATAGATAATGACACCTTGTGGAGTCATGCCAGATTACTTAATTCCTTCATAAGTCAAAATATATTTGAATATTTACTTGCGTACTAAACTGAGGATATAATGGCCATTAAAAAAAATCATCCCCATGTCTTGGGAGTTTTCAGCATTGAGATACTGGAAAAAAATTTTTTCTTTTCTTTTTTTAAAAGAAAATTAGGTACCATGACTTACAAAGTTTTCAATTTGGAAGTAGATACCTCAAAGCTTATTCCTTGGTCTGTGCTCAGGAGTTAGTCTTGGCGTTAACTACCATATGGGTCTGTGTACAAGGCAAAAGCCTTTATCTCTATCTCTCTGATCCCTACAGAGCTTTAAATAACAGTTCAGGTATTAAATATTCTCTCTCCTGACCCACAACTAGTGTCAATGTCCCCGCAGCAGTCACTCAAGGGACCATCATTTTCCTTTTTCTGCCTCCTGAGCAAACTAATTTTGTAAAATTTACTTATTAAAGTTTGGATTCATGCTTATGGTAGTGTTGACTCCTACAATTTTGGTGTACATATTCCTTCATCTCTAAATCGCCAAAATGCTCAAGACCCTGACCAGTGCCCATATTTTGTGGCCAGTCCACCTCCTCCAAACCTAGACTTTTTTTTTTTTTTGCTTTTTGGGTCACTCCTGGCAATGCACAGGGATTACTCCTGACTCTGCACTCAGGAATTACTCCTGGTCGTGCTCAGAAGACTATATGGGATGCTGGGAATCAAACCCGGATCGGTCACATGCAAGACAAACGCCCTACTCACTGTGCTATCACTCCAGCCCCAAACTTACACTATATTTAAGGAGGAACTTCTGCTGTTGAATTGTGAAGAATGGATAAAAGTTTGACAAGAACATATATTCAGAAATACTGATTCATTATACTATTTTGTTAGTTTGCTAATAATCGATATAGCTGTTTTTCTTGTAATCAAAAATTATTTTTGTTTTAGCATTTACCCTACGAAAGGAAAATCTGGAAATGTTTGAAGCAGTTGGTATTTTAGCTGTCAAACTTGGTGTGATTCCTTCAGATTTTAGTTATGCGGGCCTTAAAGACAAGAAAGCCATCACCTATCAAGCAATGGTTGTTAGAAAAGTAACTCCAGAGAGGTAATAAAATATTACTTTGTAAGAGAAAACTTTTCTTTCTTATTGCATCAAACAAATGATGTACGATTAAAAACTCGGAGTAACCCTAGGAACATATTAACATCACTGTCAATTTTAATTAAATATTTACTAAGCACACATTTTCTTTCATATAATCATTTTCTAAATAGATTTTAATAGAATTATGTCTTAAATTTACATTGAAAAATGAATTTAAAGCAGAATTTTGAGCAGTGGATTTTAATTCGGCTAAATCATTTTTTAAATGTTGTATTATATCAAATATGCTTTTATATGCAAGACCATGTTTTATAAATGTTTTCCTAATTGTGATAATACTTTTATATTTTTCATCATTATTTTTTACATTTGAAATCTCTGTTAAATGTAAAAGTATAAAAATGATATTCAAAGTCACTAGTAATTTTACAATTCAGAAAAGAGGATGATAGCATTGGGAGAGGTGAGGAAGGACTTTCCACATGGTGCTCTAGGGTCTTCGGGGTCATTCCTGGTGATTCTTGGCCAATGGAGCCATTCAATTGAATGTTAGGGTTCAAGGATATGGTGGTACACTAAGGCATTCTGATTTATTTCCCTTCAGATGTTTCAGACACTGCTATATATTGCATTTCACATAAAGGCATCTATATATACATGAAAATAATACTCTGAAATTTATATTTTATGAAAATTATTTCATGAATTATTTCAGAATGATGTCCATTATATAGACATTATATATTCTCCTAGTTTTGACAAAGAAATTTATTTCAGTTTTCCATTGTAAATAATGCTGTGTTTAATATTATTGCATTGCTAAGGGCTTACTCCTGGCTCTACACTCAGAAATCACTCCTGGCAGTGTAGGGGACACCAGAGATGGAACCTGGGTTACACATACAAGGCAAGCACCCTACCAAAATAAAGAAGATTTTAGAAATTAAAAGAAGCCAGAAACTAGTTTTAACTAGCACACAAAAAGTTGTTTCCATGGGGAGAGGATATTTTGATTTTTCTTATAGATATGACATGTTATGTTATCGGGCAGAACCTGGCAAGCTCCCAATGGCATATTCGATATGCCAAAACCAGTAACTATAAGAGGTCTCATTCCCCTGACCCTGAAAGGGCCTCCAGTCGTTGGGAAAGATGAATAAGGACAGGCTGCTAAAATCTCAGGGCTGTCACGAATAGAGACATTACTGGTGCCCACTCGAGTAAATCAATGAACAACGGGATGACAGTGATACAGTGATGACATGTCATTGTTTTTTATTTTGTCATTTAATTTATTTTGAATAAAAATAATTTTATTGAAAGAAGTTTGGAGAGCTCAGATGGAAGAGAAAGAGAAACATGCTAGGGAGAATACAGCCTTTGCCAGAGTTGGAAACAGCTCATTTTATTTTATTTTATTTTTATTGAATCACTATGAGATAAAGTTACAAAGTTTCTGTGATTGAGTTTCAGTCATAAAATAGTTGAACACCCACCCCTCCACCAGTGTACATTTCTATCACCAGTGTCCCCAATATCCCTCCCAGCACCCCCACCCCATCCTACCCCCTATCTCTGTGGCAGACAATTTCCTTCTTACTCTCACTCCACATTGGGGCATTATGGTTTGCAATACAGGTGGTGAGAGGCCATCATGTTTGGGTCTTTGTCTACTTTCAGCATGCATCTCCCTATCCCGAGCGATCCCTCCAACCATCATTGACTTAGTGATCCCTTCCCTTCTCTATTCCAACTATCTTCTCCCCCAGCTCATGAGGCAGGCTTCCAACTGTGGAGCAATCCTTCTGGCCCTTGTTTCTACTGTTCTTGGGAGTTAGTCTCAGACTATTTTATTTTATATTCCACAAATGAGTGCATTCTCTCTCTCTCTCTCTCTCTTTCTTTCTTTCTTTCTTTCTTTCTTTCTTTTCTTTTCTTTCTTTCTTTCTGACTCATTTCACTTAGCACAATACTTTCCATGTCCATCCACTTACAAACAAATTTCATGACTTTATCTTTTCTAACACCTGCATTGTATTCCATTATGTAGATGTACTTTAACCAGTCATCTGTTCTTGAGTGCTTGGGTTGTTTTCAGATTCTGCCTATTGTGAACAGTGATGTAATGAACATACAGGTGCAGATGTCATTTTTTAAAAAATTTTTATTAGTGAAACACCATGAGGTACAGTTGTAGACTTACAAATTTTTGTGCTTGGGTTTCGATTATACAATGATCAAATACCCTTCCCTCCACCAGTGCCCATTTTCCATCACCATGGATCCCAGTATACCTCCCACCCCCATTCCTCCCATCCCACCCTACCTTTGTGGCAGAGCATTCCCTTTTGTTCTCTCTCTCCTTTTGGCTGTTGTAGTCTGCAAAAGAGGCATTGAGTGGCAATCATGTTCGGTCCATAGTCTACTTTCAGCATGCATCTCCTCTCCTGGGAGAATCCTCCAAACACCCTTTATTTGGCGGTCCTTCTCTATCTGAGCTGCCTTTTCCCCTAGCATGCCTGGCTGGCCTCCAAGCCATGGAGTAAACCTCTTGGTACTTATCTCGGCTATTCTTGGGTATTAATCTCCTATTTTGTTACTTTATGTCCCCCAGATGAATGCAGTCTTTTTATGTCTGTCCCTCTATTTCTGCCTCATTTCACTTATTAGCATGATACTTTCCATGTAGTACCACTTGGATGTAAATTTCATGACTTCATCTTTTCTAACAGCTACATAGTACTCCATTGTGTAGATGTACCAAAGTTTCTTTAACCAGTCAGCAGATGTCATTTCTTTTGTGCTTTTTTGCACCCCCAGGATATATTCCCAGAAATGGTATTGCTGGATCATATGGAAGTTCAATTTCTAGTTTTTTTGAGGAATGCCAGTATTGTTTGCCAAAAAGGCTGGACCAGTCAGCATTCCCACCAACAATGAAAGAGAGTCCCTTTCTCCCCAAATCCACGCCAGCACTGGTCTTGTTCTTTTTGATGTATGCCAGTCTCTGGTTTAAGATATCTCATTGTTGTTTTGATTTGCATCTCCCTGAAGATTAGGGATGTAGAGCACTTTTTTTCATTTGCCTTTTGGCCATTTGTATTTCTTTTTTGAGGAAGTTTCTGTTCATTTCTTCACATTTTTTGATGGGGTTGGAGGTTTTTTCTTGTGCAGTTCCACTAATGTCATGTATGTCCTGGATATTAACCCCTTTTATGATGGGTATTGGGTAAATTATTTTTCCCATTCTGTGGGCTCTCTGCATTTTGGTCACTGGGAAACAGCTCATTTTAAGTAAAAGTAAAATTTCAGCAGATGCAGAAATCATAGAATACATTGAGAGAGACAAAATGTTAGACTGTTTCTATAAATACGAATGTGAAGAAAGGTTTACAGTTTTTACAAGACCTTAATTATACTAAAATAATTGAAAACTATCCTTTAGTTAGTTTGGGGGAAGTACTGAAAGCTTGAGTTAGAAAGTGTTCAGTGCATAATTTTAGGAAAATCCTCTGGCAATAACTTTTCATATTTACTATTGATAGGTGGGAAAGAGCAAAGTCAGGAAAAGAACAGTAAAAAGTTTCCATCACATGAATTAACAAGTCAGAATGTACAGAATGATAACATTAAAAATATGATTCTCTTCTCTTCGACCTCCTCCTCCTTCTCCTCCTCCTCCTCTTCCTCTTTCTCCTAATCCTCCTCTTACCCTTCCTCCTCTTCTTTCTCCTCCTCCTCCTTCTCTTGTCCTTTCCTGTTCCTCTCCTTGACCTTACTTTCAGCTCTGCACTCAGGGCTCACTCCTGGCAGGACTTGGAAACTATATGTCGTACAGAGGATCAAACCTGGGTTAGCTGCATGCAAGGCAAGTGCCTTATCTGCTGTACTATGGTGCTGTCCCCATGATCCAGTTCTTGAAATAATTCTGTTAATAATAAGAGTAGGTTTTTCGTACATAGTTGTTGTAATAACTTTCTTTTAAGCATTCCCCAATTTTTCCATTTTCCTATTCTAATTTAAGTGGTTACCTAACAAGTAGGCAACTGACCCTGGTATTAATTTTTAAATGTAAGATTTAACTGTGTCTCTTTATTACTTGTAGGTTTAAGAATATAGAAAAAGAAATTGAGAAGAAGAGAATGAATGTGTTTAACATTCGGTCTGTGGATGGTGCCCTTAGACTTGGTCAGCTCAAAGGAAATCACTTTGATATTGTCATCAGAAATTTAAGAAGCCAAATAAACGATTCTGTAGACTTGAGAGAAAGAATTTTGGAGGGCATAGAAAATGTTAAGGTATGATATTTAATATAGAGTGTTAAAGAAAAATCTTTGTAGTTTTCTCTCTTTAAATTGAAGAGGGAGGGGGTATGGTGCCAACAGCAGGTCAATCTGTACCTGTGAGGCGAGTGCATCAGCAGCCTCATGGCGCCTTCAGACTTCCAGATACCCCAAAATTGCTGCTGTGCCTTTGGCCAGACCCCAAAAACTTGGGGCAAAGTTTACCAAGCAAGTAAACGGCCAAAAGTTAGGTATGTGGGAGACATACCAACAAACCACCTCCAGCTCAGCTATATAATTGGAGGCAAGGCCTCTTTGGGTCCTGATTGAACTGCTTAATGGACATGATCCCAGAGACTCAGAAACAAATCTCAGAACCCAGTGGCTTTAGGTAGAAATGTGTCTGGTCTCTGCAGTAGGCTACCGGTGCTGGGCCAACCCAGGTGGGAATAGGTTTCGTGCCTTGACCTATTCCCCCTGGCGGCCCAGTGGCCGCCATCCGTCTGAAGCCATTGGATAGTCACATTTGGACCCCCAGTGACGAGACACACAGGGCCTCACGGGATGAGGGTGGAGCCGGGCTTGTCCTCCCCACCCCAACGAGACCCCAAGTCATCGCCCACGAATGGCCTCTCTGGCTCCTGATCAAGCTGCTTAACGGCCATGATCCCAGAGACTCAGAAACAAATCTCGAAACCCAGTGGCGTTTGGCAGAAATGCATCCGGACTCCACAGTACGTTACTGTCGCCGGGCCACCCTAGGGAGGAAAGGGTGTTGTCCCTCCGCCTGTTCCCTCTTGGCGACTTGGTGGCTGTCATCCTCCAGAGGCCATTGGACAGTCAGGCTTGGGCCTGCAGTGACGAAACTTGTTGGGTCTCACGGGATGGGGAGGGAAGTGGAGCCGGGTCTGTCCTCCCCACCCTAACGAGACCCCAAGTCATCGCCCACAAACGGCCTCTCTGGCTCCTCATCAAGCTGCTCAGTGGCCTTGATCCCAGAGACTCAGAAACAAATCTCGAAACCCAGCGGCTTTTGTCAGAAATGTGTCCGGACCCCGCAGTAGGTTACTGTCACCGGGCCACCCAAGGGGGGAATGGGTGCTGTCCCTCCGCCTGCTCCCTCTTGGCGACTTGGTGGCTGTCATCCTCCAGAGGCCATTGGACAGTCAGGCTTGGGCCTGCAGTGACGAAACTTGTTGGGTCTCACGGAATGGGGGGGGGGGAGGTGGAGCCGGGCCTGTCTTCCCCACCCCAATGAGACCCCAAGTCATCGCCCGCAAATGGCCTCTTTGGCTCCTCATAAAGCTGCTCAATGGCCATGATCCCAGAGACTCAGGAGCAGATCTTGAAACCCAGTGGCTTTTGGCAGAAATCCCTCCAGATTTAAGTGTTAAAATTTCGGAATTTCAAAACCACATGGCCCTACTGCAGCCACACGACATCATATGTTATACATAACCAGCAATAGAACACAAATTGTCTATTGTTGCCTTTTCAGCAGATCTGAGTGTTGGGGTAAAATCTCAAATAATGGTGGGTCTGGTGTCGAAATAGTGAATGTGATCAAAGTAGAGAGAGAGTAATGTGGAAATCATCTGCCCCACAGGCAGGGGGAGGGTGTGGGATGGGGGTATACAGGGATTTTTGGTGGTGGAGAATGGGCACTGGTGAAGGTATGGGTGTTTCATTGTATGACTGAGACTTAGACCCAAAAGCTTTGTAACTGCTCTCACAGTGATTCAATAAATAAAATTATAAAAAATGGAAAAAAAAAAATTGAAGAGGGAACTTTTTCTTTCATACCCTTTTTGTGAACAGTATAATTAATTTAGATGATAGTTAGGGTCATTGACTAAATGACCTAATTTTATTTTCTTAGTACAATTTTTATTAGAAAAATAGCATAATTTAAAAATATAATATATAGGGTTCTCCAGATCTGTGACTGAGGAAAAAAAGTTGTAAGAAGAGGGATTTCCTTTTTAGTATCTGCCATATAACATAGTAGAAATTTAAGTAAAGGAGTTAATTTTTAGGGGGAATTTTTTTGTTTCATAATATTTTCAGAAATCTTTAATAAATAGATTACATTGCTTTTCCAAATAATGTACAATATATTTTCAATCTAGTTTTGAATTTTTCAATGTTTGTAGATGATAAATAATATATTTTTGTATTATATTATTCAGTATATTTTAAAATGATGTTTGTCAGTCTTCTGAATATTACATATAATCAAAGCTTTTAGTCTCATTCTAGACAACAGATCAGCGAAATTTTTTTTGTACAGGGCTAGATAAATATTTTTGACTTAGAGTCTCTGTTCTGCCACTGTATTGCCATGTGTGGGAGTAGTTATAAGTGATATGCAAACATATGTGCATGGCCATATTTTGATACAACTGTTCACAAAAATAAGCATTGTTCCAGATTTGACTGTAGACTATTCGTCGTTTGCCAGCTCCTGGTCTAAATCTCAGAAGTCTATCTTCATTCCCAAGCCTATTAAATAAGAGAGTGGGTATATAATTTAGACATCAGTACTTTAAAAAAAAAACTCCCATAGTGATTTTTAATTACAGCTAATGTTGAGAAATACTGATCTAAATTTCTTATCAATAAAATGTTTTCTCACAATTCTTTGCCTCTACAGCAGAAAAGTGAACAGAAATGGGTTTTAATCAGCTTACCTGGCTAAAGTTTTATTTTTTTCCTCTGAAAACTTATTAAAATTGTACTACCCCTTAAAATAGGGTTGGGGCTTCTCTGAACTTAACATTTATTGCCTAGCTTTAATTTGGTGCTCACAGAAAAAATCCGTTGTCCATTATAAAATCCCCATTAGGAATAATCTGAGCTTTAGCTGACTTTAGTTCTAATAATATGGAAAAGAATTTGAGAAGTTCTGGAAAAAAAATGTCTTTGGAGTTTTGGTTTAGAGTTATAGCCATAGCTCTATACAACTTTTGATATTTTTATTCCTAATAATTTGAAAGTATACTTAGAATTCTTATAGTTATTTTGGGGCATTATTTTTAAAAATTTTAAATAATGAAACGTGATGAGTGACATTAAAGTAAAGGTAGTACTTATTCCTCTATAGTTTTTTTTAAAATATAAGAATATTGCTATTTATTCAGCCATTGATTAGGCTGATTGAATTGAGCATGAACTCCACCTTACTTTATTCCCCCTTTTTTATAATTTTATTTATTGAATCACTGTGAGAGCCGTTACGAAGCTTTCGGGTTTAAGACTTGGTCATAAAATTAAACACCCGTCCCTTCACCAGTACCCATGCTCCACCACTAAAAATCCCAATATACCACGCATCCCACACCCTCCCCCTACCTGTGGGGCAGATGATTTCCACATTACTCTCTCTCTACGTTGATTATATTCAATATTTCGACACCAGACCCACCATTATTATTTGGGATTTTACCCCAACACTCAGATCTGCTGAAAAGGCAACAGTAGACAATTTGTTTTCTATTGCTGGTTATGAATAACATATGATGTCGCGTGGCTGCAGTAGTGGCCACACAATTTTGGAATTTTGAAATTTTAACAGTTAAATCTGGAGGGATTTCTGCCCAAACTTGCTGGGTTCCAAGATTTGTTCCTGAGTCTCTTGGATCATGGCTGTTAAGCAGCTTGATCAGGAGCCAGAGAGACTGTTCGTGGGCGGCAATCAGGGTCTCACTGGGTCAAGGAGGAAAGGGCCGGCTCCACACCTATCCCATGAGGCCCTGCGTGTCTCGTCACTGCGGGCCCAACCTGACTGTCCAGTGGCCTCTGGAAGATGGCGGCCACTGAGCCAAGGGGGAGCAGGTGGAGGGACAACACCCTTTCCCCCCTGGGGTGGTCTGGTGCTGGTAACCCATTGCAGGGACCAGATGCATCTCTGCCAAAAGCCTCTGAGTCTCTGGGATAATGGCCATTGAGCAGTTCGATCAGGAACCAGAGAGGCCTTGCCTCCAATTATATAGCTTAGCCAGAGGTAGTTTGTGGGTGTGTCTCCCACATACTTAACTTTTGGCCATTTACTTTCTTGGTAAACTTTGCCCCAAGTTTTTGGGGTCTGGCCAAAGGCACAGCAGCAATTTTGGTGTATCTGGAAGTCTGAAGGCTCCATCAGGCTGCAGATGTAGTTGCTTCACAGGTACAGATCGACCTGCTGGCACCATACCTCCTACAGTTGGTTTTTGTGGATGAAACAAGGTCCAAGTGTCATTGTCCTTTTCGGGGGCAGGGGACACACCTTTTTGGGCTCTAGTGATATTCTTTGTTCTGTGTTTAAGAGTGACTCTTGGTGATGCTCAGGGAACCATTTGTGGTATTGGGACCAAACTGGGGTTAGTGACATGCAAGGCCAGCATTCAGTCCTCTTGGACTATCTCTTTGACCCGCAATGGAATCAAGAGCATTTTGTACCATCTGATAACAAAAACTTTCAGCATTTTGTGGATTTTTTATTTCTTTTGTGAGGGAGGAGGACTTGTTTGGGAGCCATACCCAGTGGTGCATGGGGCTTAGTCGTGGATCTGCACTCAGGGATCATTCCTGGAGGCCTGGGAAACTGTATGGGGTGCTGGGAATTGAACATGGATTAGCCTCTTCCATGGCAAACACCCTACCTGCTGTACTATCTTTCTGCCCCACCCCCCCGAAAGAAATGTTTTTAACATTTTTTATGAAATATTTTCAAAGTTTATTCTCAAAAATAATTGTTGACTAAATGTATATACTCATTGTATGAGTATGTAATTTTCTTTTGTTGTTCAAGAAACCATTCAGGTTTGGTATTTCCTTTGTGTGATCATATTTAACCACTGAGCATTATCTTTTAAAGATTATAATACAAATTTTTTTATTCCTGCTAAAGTGATGCCATGTCATTGTTTTTAGACCCAATTAAAAATCGACCTGTTACATATAAAGGGGCCAGAACTTGTTTGGTTTCAAAGGAAATCTCTTTCTTATTCCAAGCACTTTCTGATAACAGAAGAGTCTGACAGTCAGAAAGTACTAAGTATAGTAACCAATTCATCCTGTATTCTGTAGAACACCCACCACTGAATTTCACTTTAGTTAAAAGCTTGTATATTTTTAAGAAATTTTCAGTGATCTTTTTTTTTCTTTTTTTAGTTGTTTATTCTCTGTTTTTGTAATGATTTGTATTTCTCAGACCCTTCGCTTCTCATGTGTCTGTTGCTGAGTACATGATTATTTTATTAAAATAAATAAAAGAGAAAAGACTTAATGACCTCTTCTTATATAGTAATTATATTTGTCTTAGTTTGAGGGCCATACAAAGACTTTTTTTTTATTGAATTACCATGAGATACAATTACAAGGCTTTCATGTTTGAGTTACAGTCATACAGTCAAACACCCATGTTCGTTCTCGATCGAGTGATCAGGCAGGGATGCAGAGACAAGCAAGGCATGTGGGATGGTCAAGCACAGAGGGCTGCAGCTTGCTCAGGCTATTCAGCACTGTTCTGCAGCCTCCTTTTATCGTGAAATGAAACACAAAGGCATACATCATACATTGAATTGTCTGCATTCCTGTGTAAACATGATGTTCTCATACTTTCAAGGGCAGTGAATCATTGTCTAAGCAAAGCCCCGAGGACAAAGCAGCTGCAATCCTCCCTGCTGACCACCAGCCAGTCACACAGTTCCTAGGGTGTGGGCATCCTGACACAGCCCTGTTTGCAAGGCTATGTTTTGGGAACTTTCAGACTTTGGTATTTGTAGCCAACACATCCATCCCTCCACCAATTCGCATTCTCCACCACCAATGTTCCCAGTATTACCCTCTCCTTCCAACACTCCCCCTGCCTCTATGGCAGACAGTTTCCTTTACGTTCTCTCTCTACTTTTGGGCGTTATGGTTTTTGCAACATAGATACTGAGAGACTGTCACGTTTGGTCCTTTACCTACTTTCAGCACACATCTCCCGTCCCCAATGATTCCTCAAACCGTCATTGACTTAATCATCCCTTCTCTATTCCAGCTGTCATCTACCCAGCTTATGAGACAGGCTTCCAACATTGGGGCAATATTCCTGGCCCATGTATCTACTGTCCTGGGTGTCAGTCTCATGTTATTTTATATTCCACAAACGAATGCAGCCATTCTATGTCTGTCACTCTCTTTCTGACTCATTTCATTTAGCACGATACTCTCCATGACCATCCTCTTATTAGCAAATTTCATGACTTCATTTTTCCTAACAGCTTCATAGTATTCCATTGTGTAGGTGTACCAAAGTTTCTTTAACCAGTCTTAAACCTTGGGTTGTTTTCAGATTCTGGCTATTGTGAACAGTGCAGGTGCAGTTGTCATTTATACTGTGCTTTTTTTGTACCCTCAGGATATATTCCCAGAAGTGGTATTGTGGGGTCATATGGAAGCTCAATTTCTAATTTTTGAAGGAATGTCTATATATAACAAAAACTTTTAAACAAAATTATTGTATTTCTTATAGTTCTGGAGGCTGAAAATCCAAAATTAGGGTGAAAGCATAGTGTTTTTATAACTTTCTCACTTGGTGGAAAGAGAATGACTTAGTACTGTGACTGTTTCTTAATGCTTACAATAATTGTGCTGAGTGCTTCTAGTGATTAGGTATCATAACCCGGTTCTCTTTTAAATACCTGGAAATTGGGATTTCAGCAAATGAATTTGGGTTTCACATTGGCATATAGCCCACGATTATCTGCTTTTCACTAATTGATTTTATTTGTTCATAGGCTAAAGGGTTTGTGAATTACTACGGACCTCAGAGATTCGGGATGGGAAGGAAAGTTCATACCGACCAAATTGGATTGGCTTTGCTGAAGAGTGAAATGGTATGGAGCTTAAAATATATATATACATATATATATTTATAAAACCTTTTTTTGTGTCATTATACTACACAAGGCACATAATTCTCATATAGCCTCTGAAACTGGTGAGAAATGCCCCAGGCCTGAGTGCCAGATCGTAGACACTTGTGGGACATCTCAGAGGCTAAGTCCCACAGCTACAAGCTGTCTTGTGTTTCTTTGGTTGATGCAGTCCTCTCCTTTATATTCTTTAGGTCTCAACATTTACCCCATGCACCAAGGAAAACTGAATTTTTCTTAACTTGTAATCCTGTATCCTCTTGTACTTCCCATGTCAGGTTGTTTATTGTTTGTTTATGTTTTATTTTCAGTTTTGGGGCCGCGTTTTCTGGTGGTGCTCAGAAGTTAGTCCTGGCTCTGTGCTCAGGGATCACTTCAAGCCATGGTTTGGGTACCAATGTATTGTGACAGAAATCATGCTATCTCTTTGGCCTCCATATCAGGTTTATTATACTTCATTGGCGGTGCTTACTCAGTCTTTTCCAGTTAACAGTTACCATGTCTCTCTTGTGCAGAGCTATCTTGAATACTGTGTGATGTGCGTATTACATGCAGATGCTTATTAATATTTTTGAGTGAGTGAATACTGTGAAGATGTAGGGGAAGAATATGTTCAATGTTGGGGCTGGAGCAATAGCACAGTGGGTAGGGCATTTGCCTTGCACGCAGCCAACATGGCCGACACAGGTTCGATTCCCAGCATCCCATATGGTCCCCCGAGCACCGCCAGGAGCAATTCCTGAGTGCATGAGCCAGGAGTAACCCCTGAGCATCGCCAGGTGTGACCCAAAAAGCAAAAAAAAAAAAAAAAAAAAAAAAGAATATGTTCAGTGTCTTCTTTTAAGATCGTCCCTCTCTGAGGGCCCGGCAAGCTACCGAGAGTATTCGATATGCCAGACACAGTAACAACAAAGTCTCCAATGGAGACGTTACTGGGCCCGCTCGAGCAAATCGATGATCAACGGGAGGGCCTTTACTTACTTACTTACTTACTTACTTACTTATTTATTTTGAGTCTTAGGTTACAGCCAGCAGTGCTCAATCTTATTCCTGACTCTGTGCTTAGGGATTACTCTTGATAAGGCTCAGGGGACACCATAAGTAGTGCTGGGGATCAAACTCGGATATGCAAGGCAAGCACGTTATCCACTGTACTATCTCTCTGGACCCTACGTTTGATTTTTTTGTTATTTGAATATCATAATCACACTTGCTTTCATGGTTTGATGATAGCGGGGAAAAAATGACAAGAATAGAACTGTAAAGGGAAGAGAATACTTTTCTAGCCAATAATATCTTAAACTTAGGTATTGATTGACTATTTTTTCATCTGATTTTTTTGGACCACACTCAGTGGTTCTTAGGCCTTCCTCCTGGGTCTGTGGTTAGGAATCACTGCTGGAGGTGCTTGGGTCCTGTACTGACCAAGACCAAGCGCATGTAAGACCAGCACCTTCCCTGCTGTACTATCTTTGCAGCCCTTTATTTACATTAACTAGAATATTTATTTCTAATAAGTTTAGAAACATTATCAAATGTGGTTTAACTTTTGAAAGCTTAGGGTTAAAATTATTGCATCAAATTTATCCTGTTTTTAAATTTTTAAATTATAGTTCCTGCCACATGTTTATAATCCTTTATGGTTTTGAGAGCTGTCTAATCTCAGCACCACCAAAGTGCCCAAGACCCTCCACCAAAGTCCTTATATTATTTCTGCTCCTCCTCATTTCCTACCTTTACCTTCCTCCACCTCTTTGCTTGGTAATTTCTGTTTTGAATCCACAGCCAAGGTTTTGTCATTGTTTGATACTATTCATTCCTTTGTGAGTGAGATTATGCTTCTTTCTCTGACTTACATTGCATAACATGTCATCCTTCAATTCTATTCAAGTTGCAAGGTTTTAGCCTTTTATAGCTGTATAGTATTCCATTGTAGACATATATTTTAACTTCTTTTTTGTTTCTTGAACACTTGGTTTCTTTTCATATCCTGGCTATTGTACTAAGTGCTACAGTGTACATATGATGTGCATGTATATTTTTGAATGAATTTTTTTGTATTTGAGGGTATTTGTATACCAAGAAGTGGAATAAGTGCCTATTCTTTTACTATGCCAGAAAATGTGTGTGTGTGTGTGTGTGTGTGTGTGTGTGTGTGTGTGTGTGTGTATTATATTTCTTCTTTGGGAGGCATGATAGGACCACACCTGACAGTGCTCAGTGATTCTTCCTAGCTTTGTAAGTTAATACCTGGAGGTGCTCAGGGGACTGGATACAGTGCTGATGACAAAAATAAGGTTCAACCACATGCAAGGCAGTACTGATTGATATATTTGAATTTTAATTTACTTTTATTGTTATATTTTGTGTACATATATAAAAGTGAGTAATCTTTCATGTTCATTTGACTTATGTGCTTGCTTAATTTTTAAAGGTGAAGGCAGTAAAATTATTTCTTACGCCAGAAGATTTGGATGATCCTGTGAATAGAGCAAAGAAATATTTTCTTCAAACTGGTATTTAAAATTTTCTCGATCCCATTCAGAGATATGTAGATACATGACATAAATGTTATATCAGCAAGGAGGGCATTTAATTAAACTTCAGTGTGCTAAGAGATTGATGACAGGAGCCAGGTATCACATCCCCTCTGAGCCTAGGATCCCTGGTGTGGAACACCACTTTTAAGCCCATTCATCTAACTTTACCGAAACAAATAGATTATCATATATTATTTAATCATTACATTAAATATGCTCCTCGGTTAGGTACTTCATTTTTATTTACTTATTTGTTTTGGGGCCACACCTGGCAGGGCTTACGTTCTTTTTTTCTTAAATTTTTATTAGTGAAACACCATGAGGTACAGTCGTAGACTTAATCATTTTTGTGCTTGAGATTCAGTTATACAATAATTGAATACCCATCCCTCCACCAGTGCCCATTCTCCACCACTACTGATCCCAGTATCCCTCCCACCCCCCCATCCCCCCCATCCCACCCTACCTCTGTGGCAGGGCATTCCCTTTTGTTTTCTCTCTCCTTTTGAGTGCTGTGGTTTGCAAAAGAGACATTGAGTAGCAATCATGTTCAGTCTATAGTCATCACATATCTCCCATCCTGAGAAAGATTGCATTCATCTGGGGAACATAAAGTAACAAAATAGGAGACTAACACCCAAGAATAGCCGAGATAAGTACCAGGAGGATTACTCCATGGCTTTGAGGGTAGCCGCACACGCCAGGGGAAAAGGCAGCTCAGATAGAGAAGGGAGCACCAAATAAAGGGTGTTGGGAGGTTCCTCTCAGGATGGCAGGGCTTACTTTTGGTTTTGCACTCAGGAATGGCTCCTGGCAGAGGTTGGGGGATTATATGGGATGCCCGGGATCAAACTTGGGTGTTATGTGCAAGGCAAGTGCCCTGTCCACTGTACTATCTCTCTGGCCCATATTTCTTTTTTTTCTTTTTGGGTCACAGCCAGCGATGCACAGGGGTTATTCCTGGCTCATGCACTCAGGAATTACTCCTGGCGGTGTTTGGGATACCATATGGGATGCTGGGACTCAAACCCAGGTCGGCCGTGTGCAAAGCAAACACCCTACCTGCTGTGCTGTTGCTTCAGCCCCCCTTATTTATTTTTCATTTAAAACTTTTTTAATTTTTATTTTTCACAAATTAAAAATGTATTGATTGAGATTCTGTGGTTTGCAATACTTTTAATAAGATTTCTCATGCACCTTATTTCAACACCACACCCACCACCCATGTCTGTCCCTCCCCCACCCCCCCCAGGACCAAATGCCCCTCCCTTTTATTCTGCCCTTCCTCCCAATCAGTTATATGTATCAGTTCATCACCTTGCCCATTATGTTGACCTTGGACCTTTGTTGCTACCTTGCTTGTGTATCTTTGATCCCACATATGTGGGTACTTCATTTTTAGCCAGATCTAGGATTTACATTTGTTCTACCTTCTGCTTGTGGGGTGGTGATAAACTGATTTCAGACTAGGTAATATTCAAGCTAAAGAAAATATGAAAGATAGGAAGAGACATTACATACTAGTGTAGGGATTGATGATTAAGAAAGCTTAAATCACATCAACAGGTATGCATCAAATGAAGTTTGTGGCAAAATTTACATAGTAATTGCTATAATAGACTTGAAGAGGTACATCGATAATAGCATGTTAGTAATGGAAGACTTTAATAGCCCACTTTCGTCAGTGGATGCATGATGGGCGGGAGAGAGAGTTCAATGGGTAGAGTGCTTGCATTGAATATGGCCAACCTGGCTTTGTTCTCTGGAATCCCGTATGGTTCTTGGAGCATTGTCAGGAGTAATTATTGGGTGCAGAGCCAGGGATAATCTTTGAGTATCACTGATGTGGCCTCAAAATAAAAAAGAAAGAAAAAGAGGGAAAGAGAAAGAGAGGGAAGGAGAGAAAGAAAAGAAAGAAGAGCCCTAACTAAGGAATTGGAAGGACTGGGTTTAATAGACATATTCGGGCCTCTGTCCTCAAACAGTGACTGCCCATTCTTCTCCTGTGGAAATTAACAGTCTCCAGGATAGGTAACCTGCTCGGATACAATCCAAACATCCATAAAAATAACTAAAATAGAAATCACATCAAGTATATTTTCAGACAAAAAAGATAGAATTCAGTTAAAAGTTGGCAGAGATCTAGTATTTGGAATTGGGTAACATTCTGCTAAATAAAAATTGGATCAAAAAGGAAATGGAAGAAGAAATGAGAAGATTCCTCAAAACAAACGAGAATGAATGAAGACCACAAACTATCAGAACTGATAGAAAACAGAAAACAGTAGTGCTTAAGGGGAGGTTCACACCTGGCAGACTTATCAGGAAAAGAGGAAACTCAAAGAAACAACTAAACCCAAAGCTTGAAAAACTTGAAAAAGAACAAGTTAATTCCAAAGTAAGTATTAGGCAGGAGGTAATAAAAATGCGAGTGAAGATCAATCAATGTGAGGGGAAAGAAGAAAACAATGCAAGGGGTCAGAGAAACCAGGAGCTGAGTCTCACGGTCATAGTCCTCCCATTGTTCATCGATTTGCTTGAGCAGGCCCAGGAACATCTCCATCGTGAGACTTGTTGTTACTGTGTTTGGCATATCGACTATGTCACGGGTAGCCTGCCAGGCTTTATCAGGCTCTCCGAGAGGGGCAGAGGAATCGAACTCGGGTCGGCCATATTGGCTGCGTGCAAGGCAAACGCACTACCTGCTGTGCTATTGCTCGAGCCCTGGAGCTGGGTCTATGGAAGAATAATCAAGATTGACAACCCTTAGCTAGTCTCTTAAAGAGAGAGACCAAAATAAATAAGATCAGAGACAAAAGAGAAATAACGAATTTATCTCAGAAATATCAAAGATTTTAAGATTTTAAGAGGTTATTGTGAACAACTCTATGCCACCAAACTTGAGAGCCTAAAAGAAATGAATTCTTATAATCCTACAGACTGCCAACATCGAATCCAGAGGAAGTAGAAGGAAACAAAGTAGCCACTTTACCCATAGTACTCTCTCTTTGGCCCTGAATCTAATTTTTAAAAGTATTCCGCTAAAAAGACTTAATAGTATACAAATCACAAAATTCGTCGATTGCCTCGAGCAGGCCCCAGTAACGTCTCTTTCATCCTAGCCCTGAGATTATATTCAAGGCTCTTTAGGAGAATGAGACCCATCATGGTTACTGGTATTTGGCATATTGGGTACGCCACGGGGAGTTTGCCAGACTCTGCCATGTGGGCAGGCTACATTCGGTAGCCTGCCAGTTTGTCCAAAGTAGGAATGAGATAATAAGATGTCATAATAAGAGGTCGCGCGGCCGCATTTGCGGCCGCGTGGTTCTGGGAGCTGGTTTTTATAGTCTCTGAGTCTTGGCTGCTGATGGGATTACACGGCGCCAGTGGGCCAGTTGGTGGGTGTAACAATACATGTAATAATACATGTAATAATACATGGTATAATCAAAGAATTAACCATGTATTATTAAAAGAAATTTTATGTTATCATTTGTAGTATATCTTTAAAACTCTAGGCAAAATTTTAATCTTTTTTCCCCCAGAAACCTCTGTGTATTATCACTCAGAGCAATGAAGATAATTTTTACTCCATTCTGAAGTATACCATACTAATATTGTGTTTTTGCTTTTTTTAAGCAAGGAAAGTGAGTGAACCATATGATTAATGATCCTTATTAAAGAAACAGATTACCTCTTCAATTATAGCTAGATATAGAGCATCATCTTTATATTTAGGTTATGAGAAAAGATAATTCATGATTTCTTGCTGAAAAACATAATGAAGATCTTTATAGCTGGCCTTTGAATAAAAGTGGGTGTCTCACTGACTTTTTCTTCATTTCAGAGGATGCTAAAGGCACACTTTCACTGATGCCTGAATCCAGAGGCCGGGAGAGAGCCTTGCTGGAGTCACTGCATCGCTTTGGCCTGACCGAGGAAGGCTGTGTCCAGGCATGGTTCTCTCTTCCTCATGGTATGCGCATATTCTACATCCATGCTTATAGCAGCAAAATTTGGAATGAGGCAGTATCTTATAGACTTGCCACGTATGGATCAAGAGTAGTGGAGGGTGATTTGGTCTGTTTGGATGAAGATACTGATGATGAGAATTTCACAAAAGTAAGTACATGCCATCACAGTTTTCCAAGAGTAGTTAAGATACTAAAAACATAAATTTTCAAAAGTCCTTATAAAGCATGCTGACTTTTAATTTTTTCTTATAGTTACCCATCAGCTGTTTCTAGTCCTGCTGTCATACCAAATTTGGTGCATGTCCGTAAATCAAACAATTAAAAATAGGCAGTGTAAAAGTAGGCAATAAAAATCTAATGTAAAGGGCATTGGATAGTAGACACTGCTTTTTTTAAAAATGCACAAGAACCCTGGAGGATGGCTTAGAAGACTTTGCCTGTGGGGCCTAATTCAAGCCCTGGAACTTCATTGTCCCCTTAGTACCACCACTGAGAAGAGTCACTGAGGGCCACTAAGTGTTGTTCCCCTGCAAAAATTCACAGATCATGCATGAAATTTTCCTTAGAAATGGAAATTGAAATATTGTAGACATAGCTAATTCCTAACACCACTTTATTATCATTTTTTCCTCTTTCTCCTGCAGTTTGGTCTCTTTGTTTTGTTTTGTTTGTGATCATTTCTCATGCAAATGTGAGGCCATGAGTTCTATCCCTGGTGGTGACCACAAGTGCCAAGTACAGTTCTTATTGCTGTTCTGTCTGGGACCCCTGGCAAAGCAACAAAGTGTGTTATCTGGGAAGTACCCCAGGCAGGTGTTGTAAGCATTGCAACTAAAATGTATGGGGAGAAAGAAAGGGCAATTCAATAGTATAGGCAAGGGGAGTTGCTGACTGGGTGACAATATCACCCCAGGGTGTTAAACTGCTTACTATTCTCCATGCGTTAAAGCTTCAGTGATCAGTGTTTGTATGTGGAAGAATCATTCTAATTTCTATGCAGTTTACTCCTTCAGAAACAAAATTGTAACTCATTTCACCTAGCATGATATTTTCCATGATTTCCATGTAGTAACACTTACATGTAAATTTTGTGACTTCATCTTTTCTAACAGCTGCATAGTATTCCATTGTGTAGATGTACTAAAGTTTCTTTCATCAGTCATCTGTTCTCGGGCACTCGGGTTTTTTCCAGATTTTGGCTATTTTGAACAGTGCAGTAATGAATAAAGAAGTGCAGATGTCATTTCGACTGTACTTTTTTGCCTCTCAGGGATATATTCCCAGGAGTGGTATTGCTGGGCCAAATGGGAGCTCAATTTCTAATTTTTTGAGAATCGTCCACACTGTTTTCCAAAAGGGCTGAACCAGTCGGCATTCCCACCAGCAGTGAAGAGGAGTCCCTTTCTCTCCACATCCGTGCCAACACTGGTTGCTTTTGTTCTTGTGGATGTGGGCCAGTCTCTGTGGTGTGAGATGATATCTCATTGTTGTTTTGATCTGCATCTCCCTAATGATTAGTGATGTAGAGCATTTTCTCATGAGCCTTTTAGCCATTTGGATTTCTTCTTTGGGAAAGTTTCTGTTCATTTCATCACTCCATTTTTTGATAGGGTTAGATGTTTTCTTGTAGAGTTCAACTAGTGCTTTGTATATCCTTCATATCAACCCCTTATCGGATGGGTATTGAGTGAATATCCTTTACCATTCTGTAGATTGTCTTTGTATTCTGGTAACTGTATCTTTTGAGGTGCAGAAGCTTCTTAATTTAAGATAGTCCCATTTGTTTATCTGTTTCCACTTGGTTGGACAGTGGACTGTCTTCTTTGAAGATACCATTAGCCTCAATATCGTGGAGGGTTTTGCCGACCTTGTCTTCAATGTACTTTATGGATTTTGGCCTGATGTTGAGGTCTTTAATCCATTTTGAGCTGACTTTTGTGCATGGTGCTAGGTCGAGGTCTAAGCCCATTTTTTTTGCATGTGGTTGTCTAGTTATGCCAGCACCATTTGTTGAAGAGGCTTTCCTTTTTCCACTTCACATTTCTTGCTCCCTTATCAAAGATTAGATGTTCATACATTTGACATAGAAAGATTGCATTCCTCTGGGGAATATAAAATAACAAAATAGGAGACTAACACCCAAGAATAGCCGAGACAAGTACCAGGAGGTTCACTCCATGGCTTGGAGGCCAGCCGCACATGCTAGGGGAAAAGGCAGCTCAGATAGAGAAGGGAGCACCAAATAAAGGGTGTTGGGAGGATCCTCCCCAGATGAGAGATGCATGATGAAAGTAGATTATAGACCAAACATGATTGCCACTCAATGCCTCTTTTGCAAACCACAGCACCCAAAAGGAGTGAGAAAACAAAAAGGAGTGCCCTGCCACAGGGGTGGGGTGGGATGGGGGGATGGGGGTTGGTGGGAGGGATACTGGGAGCATTGAAGGTGGAGAATGGGCACTGGTGGAAGGATGGGTACTCAATCATTGTATAACGGAAACCCAAGCACAAAAATTTGTAAGTCCACAACTGTACCTCATGGTGTTTCACTAATAAAAATTTTTAAAAAATTAAATTAAAAAAAAAGAAACAATTGTAAATCCATTTTGTTTGGGTATATGTATATTCATCATAGGAGTCTAATTTTATATAACAGATTTAGCAAAAATTGAAGTAACTGGAACATTTGGGAATCATCTTATATCTTCATTATGTCTTTAAAAATAGGTTCATCTGGTAACAGAAGAAGAGGAGTCAGCTAATACATATGGAATACATCAGGTAAATTCCCCACTTTTCTGGCCACTTTTTAGTTTAGGTGTAATTTCGTTTAAACAAGAGTGTTTTTGGTTTTTAGGGGTACAGTAGTATTGTACCCCCTCTCACCAAGTCTCAGTGGGTCTCCACCACAGTTCATTGTCTGAAGGACTGCCATCCTACTGCCCTCTTAGCCCCCATCCACCTCCCACCTTACACCACTTGATATCTATTTTCCAGCATCTTTGACTTATTTCACTGAACATGATGCCCTCTGATCCTTCCCTTTTATCCTTCCTTCCCTCTTGCAGCAAAATGCAAGATCTCATCTGTTTCTTAGACCTGAGTAGTATTCCTCTATGTACATATATCTGACAGAGATTCGTCACCTACCAATCAGTTTGGGGTCATTGGGTTGTTTTCAGATCTTGGCTATTGTAAATTGTACTGCAGTGAACATAGGTATGTGAGTATCTTTTTGAATGAGTAGTTTTGTGTTTCAGAGATAAATACCAAAGAGTGGTATTGTTAGATCATATGAAAGTTCTATTTTATTTACTTATTTGGTTTTTGGTCCACTCCCAGGAGTACTCACAAATTACTCATGACTCTGTGCTTGGGAATTACTCCTGGTAGTCCTTAAGGGAGCATGTGGGGTTCCAGGGATCAAATAAGTCTTGGCCATATAGAGGCAAGAACCTTAACACTTGTCCTATCTGATCCTGTAAGTTCCATTTTTAAATCTTTTTTGTTTTGTTTTGATTTTGGGGGCCACACCTGGCAGGGCTCAAGGCTTACTTCCACATGCAAGGAAAGTGCCCTACCCACTTTACTATTTCACTGGCCTCTATTTTTAATTTTAATTTTTATTTTTTCTTCTAAATTGAACCCAGGGCCTCACATATGCAAAACAAGTATTCTACCACTGATCAACATTTCAAGCTAAGAGATCCTCCTCCTTTTTCTCCTCCTCCTCTCCTTCCTCTTCCTCCTCCTCTTCCTCTTCCTCCTCCTCCTCCTCCTCCTCCTCCTCCTCCTCCTCCTCCTCCTCCTCCTCCTTCTCCTCCTCTCCTCCTCTCCTCCTCTTCCTTCTATTCCTCCTCCTCTCCTCCTCCTCCTTCTCCCTCCCCCACCTTCAGCTCACCAGGGTCATACTCAGTAATGCTTGGGTGATGCATGTGGTGCTAGGAATTTACGTTAGTGCTTTACACATATAATATACACACTGTACTACTTGAGCCATATACCCAGACCTCTATTTTTAACTTTTTGAGGAATTAATTGTACTGTTTTCCAAAGTGACTAAAACAGTTTACAATCCCACCAACAGTAAATGAGGATTACTTTCTTACTGCATTCCTGCCAACCCTGATTATTTCCAGCTTTTTTTTTTTTTGATAAATGCAATTTGATTTTTGGCTGAGTTTTGAGAATGTATTATGTATCCTGAATAGTAATCCTATATCAGAAGAAATAGTGTATATCTGTTTTCTCCTTTTCAGTGGCTTGTGTTTTATTAGCCATAGTTTCTTTCACAGAGAAGAAACTTTTTAGTTTGATATAATTCCATTCGCTTATTTTTGCTTTTGTTTTCTTCGTCAATGGATTGAAATCCTGAAGACAATGATATTTCAGAGTATTGATATTTTAGTGTTCTGCTTTTTTTTTTATCTTTTTGGGTCACATCTGGCGATGCACAGGGGTTACTCCTGGCTCATGCACTTAGGAATTACTCCTGGCGGTGCTCAGGGGACCATATGGGATGCTGGGAATCAAACCCTGGTTGGGCGCGTGCAAGGCAAATGCCCTACCCACTGTGCTATTGCTCCAGCCCCACGGTCTTTAATTTTTGAGATAATCTCTGTATATGATGTGGAAATAGCAGTCCAATTTTTTTTGTCTTTTTTACGGGGTGAGGGGTGTGGTTGGCCAAACCCAGTGATGTTCCGGGATGACACTTGAAGGTGCTCAGGGAACTATGTTTAGTGCCAGGGATTGAACCAACGTTGGTCTTGAACAAGGAAGGAGCCTTGTGCACTGAACTGTCTTTCTAGCCCCTTCCCCTCCTTCTTTTTGCATGTGCCTAACCATTTTTTCTTTTCTTTCTTTCTCTTTTTTTTTTTAAATTTTTATTAGTGAAACACCATGAGGTACAGTTGTAGACTTACAAATTTTTGTGCTTTGGTTTCAATTATACAATGATCAAATACCCATCCCTCCACCAGTGCCCATTTTCCACCACCACGGGTCCCAGTATCCCTCCCACTCCCCATCCCCCCATCCCACCCTGCCTCTGTGGCAGGGCATTCCCTTTTGTTCTCTCTCTCCTTTTGGGTGTTGTGGTTTGCAAAGGAGGCATTGAGTGGCAATCATGTTTAGTCTATAGTGTACTTTCAGCATGCTTCTCCCATCCTGGGAGGATCCTCCCAACACCCTTTATTTGGTGCTCCCTTCTCTATCTGAGCTCCCTTTTCCCCTAGCATGTTTAGCTGGCCTCCAAGCCATAGAGCAAAATTCCTGGTACTAATCTTGGCCACTTTTTGGTGTTAGTCTCCTGGGAATATATCCCAGAGAGACAAAAAAATATAGTCGAAGTAACATCTGCACTTGTTTGTTCATTGCAGCACTCTTTACAATAGCCAGAATCTGGAAAAAACCTGAATGCCCAAAACAGATGACTGGTTAAAGAAACTTTGGTACATCTACACAATGGAGTACTATGTAGCTGTTAGAAAAGATGAAGTCATGAAATTTACATACAAGTGGTACTACACCGAACGTATCATGTTAAGCAAAATGAGTCAGAAAGAGAGGGGTAGACATAGAAAGATTGCATTCATCTGGGGGACATAAAGTTTCTTTTGTTTTTTTGAAGAGGCTTTCATGCGTCCACTTCATGTTGTTGACTTGTTTGTTGTAAATTAGTTATCTGTATGTCTGAAGGTTGATTCCTGGGTTCTCAGTTCTTTTGCATTGGTCTGAGTGTTTGCTTTTATTCAGAGCAACAGTGTCTTGTTTACAATACCTTATAATCTAGTTTAAAGTCAGGGACTGTGATCTTTTTTTAATTTTTATTTTATAAATTTATTTATTGAGTCACCGTGAGAGCAGTTACAAAGCTTTTGGTTTAAGTCTCAGTCATACAATGATGAAACACTAGTCCCTTTACCGGTGCACATTTTCTACCACCAAAACCCACAATATACCCCCATCCCAGCCCCTCCTCTACCTGTGTGGCAGATAGTTTCCACATTACTCTCTCTCTGCTTTAATTACATTCAATATTTCAACACAAGATCCACCATTATTATTTGAGATTTTACCCCAACACGCACTGTCACTGTCACTGTCCTCCCATTGTTCATCGATTTGCTCGAGCGGGCCCAGTAACGTCTCCGTTGGAGACTTTGTTGTTACTGTGTTTGGCATATCGAATACGTCACGGGTAGCTTGCAGGCTCTGCCGTGCGGGCGACATACTCTCCGTAGCTTGCCAGGCTCTGCGAGAGGGGCAGAGGAATCGAACTCGGGTCAGCCATGTTGGCCGCTTGTAAGGCAAACGCCCTACCCGCTGTGCTATCACTCCGGCCCATGTTGAATAACAGTGATGAAAATAGACATACCTGATCTTCAAGGAAAGGTTTTCAGTTTTTAATTTTTGATTATTTTTACTGTAGGTTTATTGTAAATGACTTATTATTTGAAATAATTTCTTTCTATTCCCATTTTTCTTATTATAAATGGGCATCTTGTCATAAGCTTTTGGCACCTATTGATATGGTCATGTGACTTTTATCTTTTATTGATGTGGTATGACATATTAATTATGACATATAGAACCATCTTATAATATCCCTGGAATAAATCTCATTTGGTCTTTGTGATGACCATGATCCTTTGAATATATTGCTGAATTTGGTGTGCTAAGATTTAGTTGAATCTTTGTATCTTTTTTTTATCTGTCTATCTATATTTTACTAATAACTGTCTTCTTTTGGCATTAGGGTAATGTTGATCTATAAAAGTTGTTTAGATTGTATGACTGAAACTCAATCATGAAAACTTTGTAACTGTATCTCATGGTGATTCAATACAAAAAAAATTTTTTTAAAAATTAAAAAACCCAAAATTTACATGTCAAAGTAAAAAATAAAAAAAAGTAAATGCAAAAAAGACTGTTTAGAATTTTATGTTTTATGAATTTTCTGGAAGAACTTAAAAAGGATAGGTAATATCTTCTCTGAAGTTTTCATAAAACTCATTAGTAAATCCATCTGGACTTGGCATTTGTCGAAGATTTTTTAATTGTTTGTTTCCTTACTATTAATCAGTCTCATCATATTTTTCATTTCCTCCTGATTCAGTTACAGGATATTTGTATTCTTCTAAAAATTTATCCACTTATTCTGGTTCCCCAATTAAGTCATATAAAGTTGTTCACAGTATTCTTAGGATGTGAGGCATTTTTGTGGTGTCTTTTTAAACTTTTCTGGGAATTTTGTATATAAATATTTTATTTCATAATTTTAGTTTGTATTCTACAAGTTATTTTAAATCTAGAAGTATCACAAAAGGACAAACCCCCCATAATATGCAGTGTTTACTTATAGGCATCTGAGAAAATCAACTTATTATTTGCTGCTACTTTTTTGCTTTGTAGTTTTTAAATGAAGAATGTGAAATACCAGTTATGTGATTGAGCACCAAAGGAGTTTTTGTACTGAAGAATAATATTTGCTTTGGGGGTCGTATAACTGCATGAAATTAAGTTTTTAGTGACTAATTAAATAACCAAAACTGATTACATTTCTTCTCTATTAACAACAGTTTAATAATAATTGATTTGAGCTCCTTGTATTAGTTAATGTCAGTCTCCTTCTTTAGTTACTTTCCTCTAAGTACCAACATTTAAAATAGTCAAAGTAGAATAGTATTTATTAGCATGTTTTAGGCTGATTGAAATGTTTATATTTGAGATTGTCTTTAACAGATTTAGGTTCATAATAAAAGTGAATTTAAAACTTTGATTATATGATTCTTTTCTGAAAGTTGTTTCAAGATTGTTTCCCTTCCATTGTGCAGGTGGTTCTTCCAGTGCTTGGATACAATAATCAATTCCCAAAGAACAAAGTTGGGCAGTGGTACCAGGAGGCACTCATTAGAGATGGACTGCAGACGTGTAGGTTTAAAGTACCTGCTCTGAAACTTAATGTTCCAGGATGCTATAGGCAGATTTTGAAACGACCTCATAACCTCTCATACCAGCTGATGGAAGAACAAGATATTGATGTCAGAAAAGGTGATTCCCACAGCAGTGAAGCACCTTTATCTCTTTCAGTCTCCTTTGATCTTGATGCCTCATGCTATGCTACAGTTTGTCTGAGGGAAATAATGAAGGATGACTTTTGAAACTGATACTCTTGATATAATTGTGTGTGTGTGGCATCCTTTAAAAGAAAGGAGCTAGAAGTTCTTGAGCATCTATCATGCTGAGAGCTTTATAATTGTCACCTCCTTTAATTATACAGCATCCTGGTGAAATAGATATTTGGTGCTAATGCTCCAGAGGACGTAGAGCAGTGGCAAGTTCTGAACCTATGACAGACTCCAAAACCTATGGTCTTTGTATTCTGTACTATTTCAGTGACGTTTATTTTATGAGCCACAAAAGCTAGAATATTTCTGGAATATTTGGAATATATAATACTGTCAGATAACTTTTAATAAGAACAGTTTTTTTTTTGCTTTTTGGGTGCAGCTTTTTGGGTCACACCCGGCATGGCACAGGGGTTACTTCTGGCTCTGTGCTCAGGAATTACCGCTGGCGGTGCTCAGGGGACCATATGGGATGCTGGGAATTGAACCCAGGTCGGCCGTGTGCAAGGCAAACGCCCTACCCGCTGTGCTATTGCTCCAGCCCCAATAAGAACAATTTTTGAGAAATGTTTATATATTATACCTCATTGCTTAGAATGTAGGAGAAATTAGGTGTTAAGAAAACATTGTTGGTGCTTCATGCCCAATCGAGGTCATGAGTTGCCCCCCACGAGTGGCTCTCCGGCATGGCCATGGCGCCAGAGGCTCATTGACCTAATCCAGAGCCTAGCAGCTTGCAGCAGAAATGTGAATGGACTGTGCGTTAAACTCCAGTGTCATGTACCCCCCCTCCCAGGTAGGAAAGGGTGTTTGTTTCTTCCACCTTCCCTCGCCCCTGGCAGCACGGTGGCCGCTGCCTCAGAGCTTATTGGAAAACCAGGTATGAGATGGCGGTGATGGGGCAACTGCAGCCTCATGGGAAGGGGGGCAGAACTGGCTTGTCCTTCACGCCCAATCGAGGCCATGAGTTGCCCCCCTCCAGCGGCTCTCCGGCATGGCCATGGCACCAGATGCACAGAAACCAATCTCATAATTATCCGACTCTTGGCAGAAGTCCCTCCAGACTTAATTAATAAAATATAAATCCAAAATCGTGTGGCCGCAATAGTGATGGTTATGACATCATATGGTTTTCATAACCAGCAATAGAAAACAAGTTATTTCACAATGCCTTTTCACCAGTTCTGTTTGTTGGGGGGAAATTCCAAACAATAATGGTGCATCTTTTGTCGAAATAATGAATGTATTTAAAGTAGAGAGAGAGTTAAGTGGAAATCATCTGCCTCACAGGCATCGGGAGGGGTTTGAGGTGGGTATATTGGGGTTCTTGGTGGTGAAAAATAATTACTGGTGAGGGGAGGGGTGTTTGATCATTGTATGACTGAGACTTAAACCTGAAAGCTTTGTAACTTTTCTCACTGTGATTCAATAAATAAAATTTAAAAAAAAACATTGTTGGAAAGATAGATGAAACATTTTGTTAAATTCTTTGAATTTTGTTAAATTCTTTTAAATTTAAATTTTGTTAAATTTATTCTTTCCTTTTTTGCTTAGCAGGTAAGCATAGCGGGTAGGGCATTTGCCTTGCACGCAACTGACCCGGGTTCAATTCCTCCGCCCCTCTCGGAGAGCCTGGCAAGCTACTGAGAGTATTTTGCCCGCACAGCAAAGCCTGGCAAGCTACCTGTAGCATGTTCGATATGCCAAAAATGGTAACAACAAATCTCACAATGGAGATGTTACTGGTGCCCACTCGAGCAAAGTGATGAACAACGGGAGGACAGTCTACAGTGCTATTCTTTCCTATTTTTGAAATTATCTCCCAAAGTTCCTTTATGATAGCTTTCTTAGGGTAGTTTATCCCCTTCTGAGGGGTACATTAAATAGTCTTGAATAAAGATTGAGATTATTTTTATATAGCTTCTCTATCTTGATATACTTTTTTTGGTAAGTTTTTTCTATTATTGAAATCAGAATTTAGAATTGGATAAATTAGTTCCAGCTCTTTTATTGGTGACTTTAAATATATCATTGAATCTTTTTGAAGTTCATTTAAAGAATCTAGATACCCCAAACTTGCAAGGAACAAATAATTGAATTATCTCCATTCTTTTTATGTCTGTGTATGGTGCAAGGGAAAGAAATTTTTTTGTCCACTTAAAGATATATTTAACTCTGTCACATCATGAATCACCCTTGATTATTTTTTTTTGTTGGTTAAATTTGTGGGAAAAATGGTATATATTGATTAGGAAGAACTAAGCATTCTTTCATTGTTGATAGAATAATGATGAAATGTGTGAATAACATAGAGCACTAAATATCATGAATGTGGTCTTTTTTTTTATTATTGTTGCCCTCTACAACATGAATGAGTTATAAGTCCTGCACAGTGTCAAATCCGTGGCTAACTGATTTATTCAGCCCTCTGCTTAAGTTCTGCATATTAGGATTCAACCAGCCAACCTCCTAGACAAGATTGTGAAGCACAGGTAGAAAAAGAAATCCATATATGACTAAGGTGGCCTATACATTTCAAACCTGATTGCTCAAGGGTTGGCTGTATTAAGTCATTGAAACCTTTTAGACATTTAGCATAAAATTAAATTTAGAAAAGGAAAAAGAAGCTGTGTGTAAACAAAAAAGAAGCTGTGTAATGCAAAATATGCAAAGTCTACAATGGAGACGTTACTGGACCCGCTCGAGCAAATCGATGATCAACGGGAGGGCCTTTTATGTTACAAAAATAGAAATACTTTCAGTGACTAGGTTTAGATAAATGAAGTAAATAAGGAGTATGAACTTGATAACAAACAGCATTATTAAAAATTATGATGGTTTTAGGTATGTGAGAAAACATTTCCTATCAGCAGATTATGGCTATGATAATTGCAGTATATACTCTGAATTCAGTTTGTAAAGCTGTGTGATATTTTAGCTGACAATTTTTCAAGCATAGAGATCAGAGCATCCTCCCCTACTTTGGTCTCTGGCAACACTAGGTGGTGCTCAGGGCTTACTCGTGGCTCTGCACTCAAGGATCACTCCTGATGGGTTAGGAGAACCGCATGGGATGCCTGCATCTAATAAGCACTTCACCCTCTGTACTGTGGCTCTGAACTTTGACTCTCACTTAGAGCAGTGAGTCTTTGGTTTCAACATCTTTACAGTGAGTACACTATTATGTACTTACCTCATAAGGTTACTGGAGATTTTTACTGAGTTAATATGGTATGTAAAATCATTTGGAAAAGTTCTCAACACTTCACTATTGTTAAATATGTGCCCACAGATGCAAGTTTGGAAGGAAACAGAAAAAATTGAAAATGTTCTGTTGAATTTTTACTATTATATATTTTAATAGTAAATGTATCTCAGAACACAAAAATTGGTGATTATAGTTTTTAAAGATTAATTTTAATGTTTTTGAAAAGAAAATGATGCTATATTAAGTAGTAGAAATTTTTAAAAATATCTTTATATATCTGTATATTAAAGCAGGCATTAAATTATGTAAATTAAGTCCTAGTTTTTTAAAATGTTGACTAGCACTTAGAAAATGTGATAGCACTAAAATGTGCTGTCATTGATACTGTTAGATTTTGCCCATAGATGCAGATGGCACTATAATTTTAGATCTCTGTGTTATTTAATATTTTTATAAAAAGATTCCCTAAACTATTTTCAGCTCTCTGCACAGATACTGTTCATATGGTACATTCTTTTATGTCATTAATTTATATGATAACATTTTTTCTCTTTAAATATTTATTAATAACTTGTTTTGGACCAAAATTATTTTTTTAGGCACCATGATTTACAATTTCTTATTTATAGAGTTCCATTATACAGTGTGTCGGCACTGACCCCAATTTGTCCCTGCCAGCCCCCACACTCTCTCTAGCCACACACCACACACCCTTCCTAGACTTTATTCTGTAGACCAGTTCTCAGATTCTCTTGTCCTGGGCCACTTTTTATTCCCTAACTATGTTTGTTTGTATCCCATATGTGAAAGGGATCATTCCATACTGTCTCTGTTCCTCTGACTGACTTCCTGCAGTATGATACTGTTTTCTTTCAACCTAGGTTTTTGCAGTTTTACTGAGGTCATTTAAGACCTGCAGGATAACTTGTACCATTTTAATTTTCAATGTGGCACTTGAAACCAAGCAATAATGCCTCAAGATCACTTAAAAGATGTCTTTTTATTAAGAGAAAGATACTTGGATTTTTTATGAGCTTGTAATGAATTGAGCTATATGTTACTTGCATTTTTAAAACTATGATTTTTTTTATCAAGGTAATTTTAGTTAAAAAAAACTATGTTTTAGAAGTACAGTTTCATACTTATTGAAATAAATGTTTTATCTATTGCACCTACCATCTAAGTATCAATGTCTCTCTATCACAGTCCATTGGACCTTTTCTTTCTGTCTGTTTGTTTTGGTTTTGGGGCCACATTTGGCAGTACTCGGGGCTTATTCCTCGCTCTGTGCTCAGGAATTACTCCTGGCTCTATTCAGGGGACCATATGGGATGTTCTAGCCCCTCATTGGACCTTTTCTTCCCTTTTTTTAAAAATTAATTTTACTTTTATAAAGTTGTTCACAGTAATTCACTGCACTTAATATTAAAACACCACTCACCATCATGCACCTTTCCACTACCGTAAGATGAAAGTGTGTGAAGATTGTTGTATTTCATCCTGGAGCCAATTAACACTTGTATAAGAAGTTGTTCACAGTAATTCGTTACATTTAATATTCACTTTTAATATTACACTTAATATTCACAAACACCAATCCCACCATCATGCACCTTTAAACCACCATAAAAGAAAAGTGTGTGAAGATTGTTGTATTTCATTCTGGAGCCATTGAGCCCATGTTGTGTGTGTGTGTGTGTGTGTGTGTGTGTGTTAAACCCAAACATATGTGTGCTACTTTTGGTACATCAGTGGGGTAGAGTAAAAGAGGTCGCTCTAGGAATTCTGAAACTTAGAATATGATTATAGAGCAGATTCACTCACGGGTGAGGCATATGTCGCTCGGAGCTTTATTTCAGAGTCTCTGGATCTTGGCCATTAATGAGATTATATGGCCAGAGGCAGTTTGTGGATGTGACTGCCAATCAGCTGAAACACTTGGGAGCTGGGGAAGGAGGCCTACTCCCCCTCCGAGCAAGCTTGGAGATCTCAGTGCTGGGTCCCGCATCCCTGGGGTTTTCCACAGGTTCCTTCATAGGTGAGGCTCGCCTGAGCCTGTGAG